AACTAATAACATCTGCGGCCAACATTAGGGAGAAGGAGAGCAGTTACAGAAAGGTTTGCTACGATTATTGCCTCTGATTTGGAGGTGTGGTTGCAGTTATGTGTATATATCCATCAATCATCATCCATGGATTGGGTCTAATTTTTTTTCAAACAAAGAGGCCCAACTCCTCTGCCCAAAGAAAAAGGCCTAAACTAAAAAAAAAAAGGACCCAAATTCAAAATTTCATCTTCCTCCTCCGGTCCTCCCTTCTTCAGTTCAATTGCGGCTCTGCAACTTCCAATCTTCCACCCGGCTGCTAGTGAAGACTCCGACGGATCTAGTTAGGGAGGCCACCTAAGCTCGTCACTACCTGGATCCGCCAATGTTTTCGATTCTAGACGAAGAATCGAATAATTGAATCTTCCTATATTCTTTTATATTAAGCCCCTATTTGGTACTAAATAAAATATAGATTTTAATCTAATTTAAAGCCAACCATTCATTTCAACAACATATTTCATGGGCCCCATAACCTTTCAACCATACATTGTATCAACTTCTATCGAAATATACTAAAAATCCGATTTTAATGCTACCAAATAGGGGCTAAATAAGTTAAACTATTTTATTTATTTATTTATTTTTGTAAATAAATTTGCCAATTAATTAATCGAGCTTAGAGTATCATTTTCGTGTTTTCAGCCCAAGCCCAGCTTTGTAATTCAAATTTCAAAGAATCAAAATTGAGTTTCTTAAGTCTTTCTAAATTATCTTGCTATTCTCAAATAATTGAAGTTGAGCGGTTGCACCTCTTTTTATCTTATGATTTTTGAACCCCATTTATTGAATTTTCTCCACTTTGATCAAGGTAAGCTAATCGTCTCATTTCTTTCTAATAATTTCTTACGCTTCAATTTATAAATACTATAATTTATAATTAGTATTCAAGATATTTATTGTGAGCTCGCATTTGTGTGTTTTCCTTTATTTTAGTAGTTACCTTCTTTTCTAATAATTTCTCACGCTTCGTTATATAAACATTATTATTTATAACTAGTGTTCGAGATATTTATTGTTATTTGTATATTTTTAAGTTGGACTACGTTATTTTGTAAGAGTTAATATAGTGCTGCTGTAAGAATTCATATTGAACATATCATTAATTGGATTAATGTAATATTATTGTAAATGTAATAAAAAAAATTGATTATGGTACGGAACCAAATCGAATTCGAATGGAACCGAACCAGTATGATTCCACTTGTTAAATACTTGAAAATTCTGATTCGATTAAGTGACACAAAGATGTATTTATTTCAATTAAGAATTTCATGGAAGAATTTTCTGGATATGAATGCACAAAATTAACAGCAGACAAATTATATAAAAACATAGTACACCCAATCTCAACAAAGCAAAAGGTGAAAACTTCTGCATCTTTTGGTACTTGGTTTAGTTAAGCTCATGAAACTTGAATGTTCAAGGATATTATTTTAGACCAGTCCCCGAGAGGAGGATTGTGGTTGATTAATGGCTAACCAGTGTAAGCTTTGTCAAATCTCATGATATGAATCCTAATACGCTAGGGATGTCAATCAACGAGTTAACATAAAGACGTTTACCTAACTGGCCCAAATTTTTTTAATTAAAAAGACTTAAATCAAATGTAAACACCAACCCAAGTATGGTAAACATAGTCTCTATATCCATGTATGGAAACCAATCTTTCATGGGTAGAAACATGACGTTTGTGTTTTACACTCCGGAACAAACAAGTGATACACATCAGTTCTTTTAATTTAAAAAAAAAATGAATAGGGAAACAGTTCATTTTAGTAAAATTGTTAGGAGTGGTTCCCAACAAAAGAATTCTTTATTAAGGCTTGGCATCAAAATTAAGTTCAATATTACATGTCTGATCATATACTTAGAAAAGCGGTAAGTTACTAGTTTGTTAGCTAAAGTAGGAGGATTATGGGAATATAGTAATGAATTGTATAGCTTCTCAGTATAAATAATATAGGGGAGGCGCCCCGGGGCATAGCCCAGTGGTACAAAGGACAGGAGTGAGGTAATCTTAGCCTTGCTAGCAGCCGCAGTATGAGGGTTCGATTCCTAAGATATGAAATTGGACTCTTTATGGGCATCAGTGTACAGGCAAGTTCTTGTTTCCTGACTTATTGGGGTACATCTCGCGATTTACCTCCTTCACGATGCTCCAAGGGTCAGACGGTAGGGGACCCTCAAGGTTGGAGTTCAACCTTTTAATATGGGGGAGGGTAGTTTCCTTTCACTCAGCCAGAAATCATGGGTGAAAAATTGGGAGATAACTGAGAACTTAACTTGCAAGAGGCTTAGCTCTGTTCCCATTTTAACCCTTAATTTCTGCTTGAGAGAACTGAAGCTACACACACCCTGCCCCGCTCCATTTATAATGAGAAGCCTATACAATTCATTCTAGTAAATTCTCATAGTACCCTTCCCCTACTATAGCTAACCAACTAGTAACCTATCAAAAATCAGCCAGATAACTTTCTTTTAAATATGGCCAAATAACGGGGGAAAAACGAGTTAAAACTTAAAAAGGGATGGCATGATCAGCAACTAAATGAAGCAACAGATGAGGAATCCAAGGCCTTCAGCCTCCTTAACCAACTTGTACGGTGGGGAGGTAGCGATATCGACTCTCAGCTTTTTCGTTTCAGCAATGACAGATTCCGTGGTTTCAGCCATAACTAACTGTAGAAGCTCTAGAATTCTGAATTCTGAATGTTAATTTAAGGGGACTTAGCTACCAAATATATAGAACACTAATTGATCCCATTACTACGCATGGGCCTCCAAGCCATGCTTGCGCAAGTCTCCGAGTTTTACTACCCCAGACTAAAAGGTCTCTACAATGCATAGGCATGGCTAATAGCCATGCATACACATGGCTCTAATCTGGGTCCAACAGGCTAGTTTCCCTTTTTTATTCCGACCCTTTATAGTATCAATTCCTAGCCATTATTTAACCTAATTGAGGTCGCCTATGCATCGTATTTTAACACCTACAAGAAGATTAGTAAGAGGATTGAAGGCAAATGACACAAGGACTTGTAAATTCAAGGCTCAAATTCAAGATAGAAGTTCAAGAAATTGATTTATTAAGTTTCTTCCTCTATTCTTTATTTTGAGTGATATCTTTTTGTGTAAAATATATAAAAGTATGCTAGAGTAAATTCTCTATTGTATTGGATAAAAATCTGACCATTGTTTATTTATTTCTAATTCAAAGACTAGTTTAGTTTTCCTTGTGTTTTTTGATTGATCTTGCATGTATATGCTATTATATGATTGATTGATTACCTTTTAAATAATTAGTTCAATACACTCATTCCATAAATTCCATACAAACCATGCATTTTACATAACTCATAGAATAAATTAGGATAATTAAAAAATAACATTTTTTTGTAACATACTTGAATTTGATACAAAACTAATACAATTCAATTTAAAGTTTATTACTCGTAAGATGATACTATTAACTCACTAATTTATTACTTGTTAATGATCTCGCACTCTGACAAAATTTATTCGAACAGTTGATAATAAAAAACTTGAAGCTAAAGGTTCACGTATTTTGAAAGTAAAGACATTTGATGGAGCAATGTGGTTATTGACACGTTTTATGTATGTTCCAAGGTGGGTGTGAAATTTGATACTGTTGGGGGCACGGGACATGTTGGATTATGAGCATTGTGGATGTGCTGGTATGATAAACAAGGAGAAAAATTACGTGGCACCGATGAGATGCAAAATGGTTGTAATTAATAGCTAATAGGGAAGACAATTTTAGGCAAAGCTTTCGCGTTTAAGTCGCACCGATTAGAGTCTTTTATTATTATCAATGATTTGGAAGTGTCAAAACTGGTCCTATGACTAATGACGAGAAGAATGAAGATCAAAGTTTGGAGATATGAAATCATAGTCACCTTTTATTGGACTTTGAATTCGATTCATGTCTGCAAGAATTAATTGAGCAACTATACCACTTACAAGTAAAGAGGCACGAAGATGGTATGAAGATGGGTTATGATTTGAAGGAACTTGATAAAGCTGGAAATTATTGAAATTGAATCAACTAATTTGTTAAGGACCATCTTGGCAATTTTAAATATATCCCTTATTTTGAGCACATTTCTTTGGAAAAGTGTTTTGACATTATTTCGATCATACATTCTTCAATAAAATAATAATATATGCAAATCCATAAGTTATTTTAATAACACATTTTTCAGCAATGCACTATTCAAAAATGCATTTTTTCCTCACCAAAATGGAGCTCAAACATGGGCAAAAAGCCATATTACGACAGCGTAATTATTTCATTTATTTAACCCTTATATATGAACAGATCATAGGGCACCCATGGGCGTGGATGAATTAAGAGCTACTTCAATCGAATTTGATGTAATAGATGAATAGCCAAGGTGTGCGCATGAGAAAGAGAGAGAAGCTAAAAAAATAAGAGTCTGTGTATACACGAACGTTCTAGGTTGTAGAAGTTTTGAAATAAATAAAGACATTAAAATATTGTAAAAAATTTTAACTAATAAAGTCTTCTTTTCCTATAATTGTAGAAGGTTTATTGAACTACATTAAATTTATATATTTCTACGTATTTTACATTTGGTGAATTTTTTTCCCAACAACTAGTTTTTATATAAATGAAAACATTTTTCTTTTCACTCTACTAACTTATTCCTAGCTATAATCATTCTCCATCAAGAAATCACATCTCAGCTTCACCACATAACGAATGATTATAACTCAAGAATCACAAACCGTCATGATTAACATTAAATTCCGTTTTGGTGAAAATTAAAATCAAGTTTTTAGAAAATTTTAATTAAAGTTGAAATATGTAATTGAAAAATTGTGAGTTTTATAAAATATATGGTTAAAATTAATTACTAATTTTGACTAAAATTAAAATCTAAAATTTTCCTACCAAACGGGCTAAAAACTGAGAATTAGACCACAAGGCATCGTCCACGTAGAGGTAGAACCGAATGTATACATCCTGAAAACAAGAATCTGTAGAACCCACAATTCTCAAGAAATACATACACGAAAAACCTAATGAAATCTTTAAAAAAGAGAAGATCCAAATCCTGAAAATGCTTACAATAGCCAAACTGACTTGCCTTCATTTAAGTATGCAATGGAAATATTTATAAATCTTCCGTCGCATCACTTAGAAAGATACGATCCCACTAGTCTAAATGTGAGGGAGAGCTTGGAACCTCACACAATGACTTCCAGGAACACACATATTTGTCACGTTTCCTTCACAAGAAACATGTCCAGAGTTTATTAGTAGAATGTGGCACTACCAAAGGATCGGGGGATGGGGCTTCGATGGCAATCTCCAGGCATGTCTCAGATCAGAAGAGTTCAAATCAGGAAGTTTGAGAGCCATTATAAGACATACAATCTCTGTACCCCTCAACATATTTGCCAATCTTAGCTGAATCTGGCTTGTCATCAATCTACAATACAAATGACAATCTCATTGCTATAACATTTGCAGATCCTCTAAAAGTGTTTGGTTATTCCTTTTGCAAATTAGATTTAAATAATAATAATGATGATAATGATAATGATGCAACTAAAACCCAATTCTATATTGCTAGCAGTGTGACGAGCGTGTTTGGCAAAGCTTGACATAAGTAAAAATTACATTTAAGTAAATATTTGTTATTCAACGTGTTAGGATAAGTTACTTTTCGTCCATTATAGTGCTTGTTATATGAAGTTCATAATGGAGCAAGTGTGACCAAATCTAAACATCAAAACCACAAAAAATAAAAATCTAATTATGCATTGAGAAAAAAGATCCATTCAAGTCAAGTTTAGGTTTTTAGCTTGAATCACAAAGGGTTGAGAGTACTAAGTTTCACCAAGAAAGCATTTATAATTACATAAAACCATATAGAAATTGTATTAAAGAATAAAAAATAAAAATAAAAAAATTGCTAAACCACAAGCATTATATCAAGTGCAGTACTGGTTTCAAGCTTTGACAATACTCATTTATGAAAATTGTGCACGTACCAAAATTTTCGAAGAAAATATAAATTTGTCTGCAACCCACAGTCAATAAATTTCCACAATCACGCCAAAATTACACAATTTTAAGCACATATTTACAAAAAGTTAGCAGGCAAACAAAAATTGATTCAATATAAACACACAGACTGCAATAAGCACATACAAGAAGAAAGAAAAAGGGGATCCTGGTTGGTCATCCCAGCAAAGGCTGTTCAATTTCTTCATTTTCCACTCATCTTGCCACGAATAGCCCAAATATTTCACTGCAAAATTCCATATTTAATATTATTTATACAAACATGCATATATTCCATGTAGTAATCATTAATCATTTTAACTTGAGAACTACTCCAAAATAATAAGATGAAATGATGAGTTCAATGCGGTACAGAAACTAAAAGAAAAAGGAACAAACTAGTTATGAAAACTGCTTTGATTTGGACAATGGTGGATTCCATGGAGCCTTTTCTTGGCTCTTGACAAGAATAATACCTTTAATTTTCAGCTCACCACTTCAATTTTTCTCTTTGTTATGGTGCCCATATAAATAAAAATTTTGCTAAGTGTATGGGAAAATGGTTTATAGAATTTTTATAGTTGTCTGGTTGTTGCTAGGGAGACAACTGTAAAGATTCTGTCAACCAATCCCCATATCTGTAGTAACTAGCAAGGTTCAATAAATAATGATATTACTCAAAACATAAAGAAAAAAATAAAATTTAATATTTAATTTTGACTTTAACTTTTTAATAATCTAATTAGCTCTCCCAAACAAGCACTTTAACTCAAAGTTAAGGGACGGAAAAAAATTGGGGACAAATTGCTACAAGAGTGTCTTAAGTCATGGACAATAATGGAATCGTACTTTTTTCTTATGGGATTTAAATTAAGTTATAATTTTATTTTTGAAAAGGCTATAGTTCGATCCAAACAACACTTAGAGGGGGGATGAATAGGTGTTTATGCGAAATTTAACAATTTAACAGAAAGCAGTAAAAACGTAACAAAATGTTGACGGAGAAAACCCAATTGGATAAAAACTCCGAGCACAACTCAGTAGAGATCCACTATAGAAGATATTGACTTACAGTACGCCAGACATAATTGAATCTAACAATATTCTGATCTCCTTACTGTGTCAACCAAAGCTCTCCTGGATTTTTCAGATCTGTGCCAAAATTCCAGCCTTGAATTTTTTCTATCTCCCGTGAATCACCGAGCATTCCAGTTCTTCAAGCAGTTTCCTTTTCGGATCTTCAAACAGATGATCTTCTGGAAGTTGATATGGAGATTTGAATGGTGTTTTGGTTTTGTGAAGGTTGATGTTTTTCTCTAATAGAGCATAAGATCAAAAGAAAGAATTTTTGACTCTAGATCCTTTGGTTGTAGAGAGAAAAAAATTATTTGTGTGTTTTCCAAAGGTTATAAATGAAAAACGAAATTTTTGTTTATATAGTAGATCGTTTTTGGTAGTATGGAGCGTTTAAAATTCGCGAGAAAGGAAAATTACCAAAAATCAGATAGCACTGTCGCTCGAACAAAGTGCTGGCGAAACTCTAGCGACCCCTCAGCGAAACTCTAGCGACAACAGTTATGTTATTTAGGATTGAACGAGGTCAGGGCGAAACTCTAGCGAGATTAACGCGCCGTTTGCATCTTCAAAGCATCCAACTTTACCCTAAACCTATGCTATAAACTTTGCAAAATTGCAACACAAGTCCCTGAACTTTTTGGACCTTTACAATTTAGTCCTTGACTTTACAAACTTGACAAATTGGTCCTTTGGTCACAGATTGCCAATTACAACATTTTCCTAACAATTTTTATTTTTATTTTTTTTTTCAAAAGATCGAACCTTAATTAATTTCCTTGTTTTTGAGGTCTTAGTTATCTTGTGTGTTAGGTCCTAAAGCAAATGCAGAGGGTTCATTCAAATTGTTGAAGGTAGATGGTATTAATCATACACCTCATGTTGAGAAAAAGTTAAAATTGTAAACAAAATTAGAAAATTCTATGGAGTCAATGGCCCGATTCCGCCATTGGTTACGGGAGGAGGGTCGTTATCAACCCAACATTAAAATTTCTTTGATACACTTGAAAATTATGGTGTTTTTAGATCCGTCATTGTTTAGGTTACTCTCTAACTTTATTAATCGATTTTAACTCAATCAATAGTTCAATACTAGAGTTATTATAGTATTTTTCTTGTGATGTTCATTATTATCTCTTGTTATAAAAATGAAAAAACCCACGTCACTAACACTGTCCATACTAACCATGCTACATTTACATTCTCATTTATACTTTCATTTACACTTTTTCATAAGGCAATATCTATGCTCTTGATTTTACACTCATTTTTTACACCACTGCATAAATTTCTACCACATAGGAAGAAATGTCATTCAAATGATATACATATAACGTTATTCCTGCCCATGTAGCAATAATCATGACAACTTGAGCTTGTCAGAAGAGTTCAAATATTTCCCTGGTGACTCAAAAGTTCATATCGCATCAGACTGTAGGAATCAGACACGTTAAAGTCGCGTGAATGATTTGTCTATAAGCGTGTTTCAGTATGGTTGGTTTAGGTTGAACACGTTACCTACTTGTCATTGACAGTGCGCCTTCAAATTCTTCATCCATAAGTTATTAATTTGATATGACAATTATACCCGTTTAGGGAGGAGAGACGATTTAGTTTGGGGCTAATTTAAGGATTTTACCAATTTATCTGTTGATGTGAGGTATTGATCTGATTGAAATGTGGGGCTTTTCAGACAAAAGCAGAGAAAAGTAGTTGCCTATTTTAGAATAATTTATGCAAAGTTAGAGGCAAGACTCTTACTAAATACTAGGTAGGTGTCTGTAAATCCTAATCAGATTGGACCCATTGAAGTTACCCTGCAAAGTATCCAAAGATCACTAGCTTGAATTTATTGACACTGAGCCAACATTTTCAAATATATGATTGAAAATGGGTTAAATCCATATAACTATCTAATTTTATATTTAATATCATCACGATTATTTACTTTGATCTTATTTCATCAAGATTATCAAAATTTATACTTAATGTCGTCATCGCAACCCATTTTATTTCATTTTACCATGACTACTTAATTTCATGTAACATTTCATCGTGACCATCCAATTTTCTTTTACCATTTTAACTAATTTTAAAAGGGTAAATTTGTAATTTTGAAAAACAAATTTTTTTATTTTTAAAAACAATTTTTTTGAATAAGTTTTTCTTTTATTTTATTTTTCTAAGTAATGCTCTTTTAAAATAATTTTTTATTTTATTTTAAATTTTTTAAAATAATTTTTTCTTTATTTTATTTTTAAGGAACTTTTTTTTTAAAGTTTAATTTTATTTTATTTTTCTAAGCAACATTTTTTTAAGTAAGTTTCTATTTTATTTTAAAAACTTTTTTTTTAAAATGAGTTTTCGTTTTTTTAAAGTAACATTTTTTAAATAAAATTTAATTTTATTTCATATTTTTAAATTTATTTTATATATAAAAATGCAAAGTTACCGTTTTACCCTTTTTAAAATTAATGAAAATGGTGAAAAGAAGGTGGACGGTCATGGTAAAACGTTATATGAAAATAGGTGGCCCTAGTAACATTAAGAGGGTGTTTGACGCCCATTTTTAAGGAAAAATGGATTTTGGAATAGTAAATTGATGGAGAATGTGTAGATAAAAACTTTTTTTATTTGTATAACATTATTTTAATGAAAAATGTGTAGTTAAAAATAAGAGAGAAAAAATGTATTTTGACAAAAATGGGAATCAAACGGGGCTTAAGTATAAAATTGGGTGGTCATGTTGAAATAAAATCAAATTGAATGGTTTTGATGACACAAAGTATAAAGTTGGGTTGTCATTGGTGGATTTAACCTGATTAAAAATTGATAGGTATTGCAAAAATGTTGTTAATATTAATTTTTAATTTTAATTTAATTAAAGTTAATTATTAACTTTAATTTAAAATTAAAATTTTATTCCCTATTGAACATGAGCTAAATGTATATATTAAAAAATTCAAAATAATTTGAAAATGTGCCAAAGCGGTCGCCTCTATTGCCACCTATGTAGCCCTAGGACTAAGAATATAATTGTATGGGCTGTATAAGCAGAATAATCTTAATTGTGTTGCCGATCTTTCATAATGAATTAAAACTAGCACAAAAGGATAGGTGCATGTTTGAGCCTCATTTTTTGCGAAGAATATATTTTAAAATAGTAGATTGATGAAAATGTGCAATTAAAAAATAAAGAAAAATTTTGAGTTTATGTGTAATATTATTTTATTGAAAAATATGTGATTTAAAATAAAAAGAAAAATGTAATTTGAAAATAATGTGGATAAAAAAAGATGACCAGAACAATATGTTAAAGGTTACTATTTAAAAAGAAAAAAAAGGAAAAAAAAGCATGTGAACTGAAAACTTAAACATAATTATAATTTATTTTTATATTAAAGTTTTACGTAAATAATATTATTTAGCCCCCTGTTTGGAGCAGATTATTTTTAGTTTAAAGAGTTTTTAATATTATTTTTTAAGAGAATGTGTAGTTAAAAACGTGGAAATGTTTTAAATTTATGTGTAGAATATTTCATTGTGTAAATGTGATGTTAAAAATGATTCTGTAAAACAAGAGTTTTAAAATAATTGGAATCAAACAGGAGCTTAATATTACTTCAAACTCTAATCACTCATTAATTTATTATTATTATTATTATTATTATTGTTGTTGTTGTTGTTGTTGTTGTCGTCGTCGTCGTCGTAATATGTGAGTTCAGGAGTGCAATTAAAGCTAGCAACAAAATGATGGTGAAATGAAAACTAATAGAGAACTGGAGGATTTCTGTCCTCTAGAATTGATTGTATAACTACTACAGAAGTTGAAATTTAATTATTTTTAGGTTTTAGAAGAAGTTACTTGTTTTCTTCTCGGAACTAATTTGTTAGTGAGATAATAGGCTAGGGACCAACTATGCAATTTTTGCTTTGCCTTATATAAACTCTTTGTTTTACACAAATCAACATATCAAGATCATCAACTCTTTAAGTCCAACCTCCATTTTATTCTATAAGTCTACATGGTGGTTGATCCTCATTGAAAATTTTCATCCAACTAACAATGACACAACTCTCACATTTCTTTTGGAATGATGCTATAGATAAATACTTAGCTTCTTTGATGTAAATATTATAAAATAAATTTTATAAAAAGTAATTTTCTTTTTGAAAATTGTGTGATAAAAAATAAGAAAAAGTTATTGATCAAAGTGCAAAATTATTTTATTAAGAAAATATGTTGTTGACAGTAAGTTTTGAAGAAAAAACTATGAAAAATCTTTACCAAACATGTACTTAGCTGTGTTAGGCTCATGTTCATAAATTGTTTATCAATTATCGAGTCACTTTTTATTCGTATATTTTGAGAGATTCACAAGTATTATTCACTTATCTATTAATAATTTTATCCACTAATATTACAATCCTCCATTTGCTATATGGCTTGGGGATTAGTAACAAGGGAAATCCAGGGTAATGTGGCATTAAAAAAATTTCAAATGACAAAACGAATAGAGAGAGAAGAAAAGGGTAAAAAA